TTGCTTTGGCCAGTCATGGCTTTCACAATACACTGCAACACCCGGACACAATAACGGCCAATGTTTGAGTTGAACTCACGTTCGACTGGAACATCAAGCCCCATCTCTATGCACCACCATAGCATATAGTTCTGATTTAACAAAAGTGTAGATAATAGTAGTGCACACACATTTTAAAACATAGCAGCTTATATGATGCTGGGAGTCTGGGTGCTGTAACTGTATGTGGCCAGTGCAGAACTATGTGATCTCTAAAAATCTCTTCACAGTACTTAGTCTTGTCGCCCATTCCTTACATCAGACATCAATTCTTGATTAATCCAAGACATACTATATACATTATGGTATCCATCTGAAGGATTTTATAAAACAATACCATCTGTTTTTCTTATTAATTTTTATCCACTTTGAGCCCCAAAAGGGTGATGTGTGCACTTGTAAAGGAATTTCAAATAAGGGTTAAGGTTGATGTGTAATCCTTAAGTGTGCAATAAGATGAAGTAAAGGATCTCATAAATTTGTTTGCAGAGCTTAGATTGCACTTGTCTAAATCAGGACTGGTCTGGTTTGTAGATTATACTTATGAGATAAAAATATATGCTCTATACAACTGTCAATCAATGGTGGTACTGACAGGTAGATGCAACATTTGAGGGATGAGAATTATTAGCACAGATGACTAAGCAATAGTGCTCAGGATGGATGGATGTGATGTCAGTTCTTTGTGTTGACCAGAAATGAGAATCTTCAGTAGTAAAGATAGGATACAGGAAAGTAATGCACATGCATTTTGGTTATGCAGCATGCATGACCAAGGGGTTCATGCAGGAAAATATTTGAGTTGGAATTATGTTAGGCTGTGAATAAATGTAAGATTGAAGTGTACAATTATCTACAATTTGTAAACAAACTTGGAGAGGGTGCTGCAACAGGAAATCGAGCAGGGCAACAACTTGAGAAATGGTAATTAGAAACCCTAGAAAGGCTAGCCATAGATGAATCGGGTTTTTTTCAACCAGTGGGTTAAACAAAAAAAGCTGACCTGATTCCCCCATCCGCATATTCGGAGTGATGGGGGAATCCTTCCTGTAGTGTCATTGTATTCTGACATTGGTGAGAGACTTATCCTCCATCAGAATAAAATTGATCAGAATAAACTGAGTAAAAATTTTCCAACAGGGTGGTTAAAGAGAAATCGATTAGTAGATGGACTTGTCTTCAACCACAGTACCCATACATGGATCTAAATTTGGCTGGTCCCTGCTGAAATAGCCACATTTTGATTTACTGTATGTATGGCCAGCTCATTTGGTTTTTCTTCTCCTGTGGATCTGTTTTTCAGCCAACAGCAGGCTAAAATCTGTCAGCTGATGTCATTGAGAGCCTGAGATAACTGCTCCCACTCCCTGCACAGCCCAGCGCTCAGTGGGGGGCAGAGCTGAAAGTCACTGCTCTCTGCTCAGAGCGGCAGGGTGAACTGAGCAATCAGCGGTCATGTGATCGCTCAGTTCTCACTCTTAGAGCTGATGAGGGACAGATGCAGCATTGGATTGAAGCTGCATCCCCTAGGTAAGTATGATTTAAAAAAAAAAATAAAACATGCTTTAGTCAGTAAATGAGACGAGGACCTGAGAGAGAAATTTGAATATCATTTCTGTATATGACTAATGGATTCCAAATAAGGGTAATAAGCTGACCAACAGCATAAGTACAGACAGAAAAAAAAGGATTCAGGGACCAATCCTTGTGGAGCAAACATCAAAAGATCAATGGTGAGAAAACGCAGATAATGTATTAATAAGGGAGATATTGAATGTCCATCCAGGAAGATAGGAGGAAGCTCAAAATCTTTGATTTCTAGAGTCTGGTCTGGTATAGCATAGAACGGTCAACACAACTCACTCAGTGGATAAGAATGTAACTAAACAGGGGAATAGTTCTAGGATTATAAAATAACCTTTGTTACTGTGTATTACATGTGCAGGGTATTTGGGGGCATTATGTAAGGAAAGAGAAACACAGCACTTCTAAGTGTAGACTGTAATGATTTATTAGCAAAAAAGAGATAAAATTCACTCACCTTCCATGAGTAAGATAATGCTCATATGTGTAATGGTGTGGCTGGAGCCATCTGGATGTCAAGTGCAGCACGATGGATGCGCAGGCAGTATGCAGCAGAGAAGCTAGCAGGCACCTCTATCCAGGAAAGCCGAATGGAGCGCAGCATGGACATAGCGGTGGTGGCGTGACATCAATTAGGAGAAGCGGTGCGTTTGGACATGGACATGCGCGCTCTTTTTCAAGCTCGAACACTCCATGCCCCACGCTGCACTTCACTCTGCTTTCCTGCCAGCTTCTGATGATGTCACAATGATGAAACACGTTGGGTAGAGCTAATTGCGTCACTTCCGATTCATACGAGAGTGAATGTGTAGCGCAAACAGCATTCCAGAACAAATTGTTTTAAAGTGCCAAATACATGGAAACTATGTCAGTGCACTTTTATGTGGTTTTATTCATATAAAAACTGTATAATGCTATATGGAAGTTTCCTTTTGATCATTCCTACTGCAAATCTCTGTGGTGGAGGGAGGACAAGTGGTCATCTGGTATTCTGGAAGGTTCCCTTCCGTCAGGAGGATCCTAAAAGAGTGGATATTCATCCCTGTGGTTCACAGGAAGCTAATCCATTGCAGGGGCTTTGAGGAAGGGAAGCACCCAAAAAGAGCTTTTGGCCCACCTATGAACAAAAGGTCAATATATTGCAGTAATTGAGGTTCTGAAGGGGGAACATTAGCGATAGCACGGATTACAAATTACTTGCTACAGTCACCAGCTATATCACCAAGTCACTTTTGTATTTAATATGTGGAAGGTGTTTTGTAGTGCCGGGACTACATACCCTGGCAGAAATTGTGAAATGTTGGCATTGATATTGAAAATATGACTGATCATGCCACAAAATGCTCTTTTATTGAAGGATGATGATCATATGATGCCATTTATTATCAAATAGTTGTTTGGCTCCTTTCTAAATCATAATGATAACAGAAATCACCCAAATGGCCATGATCAAAACTTTTCATACCCTGGAATGTTTGGCCTTGGTACAGACACACAAGGTGACACACACGGGCTAAAATGCCAATTAGAGGTTAATGTCCCACATATGTGGCTTTTTAAATTGCAATTAGGGTCAGTGTATAAATAGTCAATGAGTTTGTTAGCTCTCACATGGAAGCACTGACTAGGCTAGATACTGAGCCATGGGGATCAGAAAAAGAACTGCGTAACAAGGTAATGGAACTTTAAAAGATGGAAAAAGGACATAAAAAGATGTCCAAAGCCTTGAATTATGCCAATAAGTACTGTTAAATCACCTATTAAGAAGTGGAAAGTTCAGGGATCTCTTGATACCAAGCCAAGGTCAAGTAGACCAAGAAAGATTGCAGCCACAACTGCCAGAAGAATTGTCTGGGGATTCAAAGAAAAACCCACAGGCAACCTCAAAAGACCCCACAGGCAACTCTGCAAAAAGAGGGTGTGGTTGTTTTTTTAACCCCTTTATGCTGGCCGTACACTACAAATGTGCGGCCTACAGGCGTCCAGGGCCTAGACGCCGAGCGGCCGCACATTTGCGTTCAGGTAAGAAAAAAAACATATGTGCTGAGAGTGCGTGCCCTGTGCGCTCCCCAACACACATGTCCGGTACTCACGGAAAGGTCTCGGTCTGCTCTTTCGATCAGGACCTATCCTGACCATGTGCCAATGCCACAAATGACCCTCCTGTTGCCTTGCCTGTGTGTTTTGGGTCATTGTCATTCTTGAACACCTATCCACGACCCATTTTCAATGCTCTGGCTGAGGGAAGAAGGTTCTCATCCAAGATTTTGACGGTACATTGCCTCGTCCATCATCCCTTTGGTGCGGTGCAGTTGTCCTGTCTCCCCATAGCAGAAAAATACCCCCATTGACAAGATCCTCACGTGTAGTTCTGGGATGATTCCTCACTGTTCTCATGATCATTGACACTCCACAAGGTGCGATCTTGCATGGTGCACCAGACCTAGGGGAGACTGACAGTTGTTTTGTGTTTCTTCCATTTGTGAATGATTGCACCAACTGTTGTCACCTTCTCACCAAGCTGCCTGGCAATAGTTTGGTAGCCCAGTCCAGCCTTGTGGTAGATCTACAATCTTGTCCCTGACATCCTTGGACAGCTCTTTGGTTTTTGCCATGGTGGAGAGTTTGCAATCTCAATGATTGCTCCTGTGGACATGTGTCTTTTATACAGGTAACAAAATGAGATTAGCAGCACTCCCTTTAAGAGACTGCTTCTAATCTCAGCATGTTACCTGTATGAAAGACAGCTGGTAGCCAGATATCCTGCTGAATGATAAGGGGATCAAATACTTATTTCCCTCATGAACATGAAAATCAGAACATAATTTGTTAGGCATTTCTTTTGAATTTTTTGTTGCTATTCTTTCTCTTTAGTGTTACAATACACCTACCATTCGATTTTTTAGACTGATCATTTCTTTGTGAGTGGGCAAACATTCAAAATCAGCAGGGGATCAAATACTTATTTCCCTGCACTGTATATCCCATTAATGGTGAGTTTTTTCTTTTGGTGTAGCGTTAGCCATAGGTACATATGCATGATGCAATAATTAAAGGTCCTCTTTATAGGCAGGTTCAGTGGCAGGTATCCCTAGTAGACCTGGTACTATAATATCAAATCTTTTAGTCACCATTGTACCCTAATATTTAAATAATTAAAAGGATCTTAAGTCACTGTAATGTCACAGCAACCTGCACTACATAACCCAGCTGTCTGATGTTCATGTACATTAACCACCTTCCGCCCGCCATATAGTAATATGACGGATGCAAGGTGGTTCTCTCATTCTGGGAGGACGTCATGTGACGTCCTCCCATTCTCACAGCACTCATGCGCGGCTCAGTGAGCACGCAGCGTGCAGCGTGGCGATCGGCAGTGCACTGTGTCCCTCAGACACAGTGGATTACCAATCATGGAAAGAGCCGAAGTGTCGGCTCGGTCATGTGATCAACTGTGTCCAATCACAGCTGATCACATGTAACAGGGAAATGCCAGTTATCAGCATTTCTTTCCTCTCGAGCTGTCACGCTGAGTGGACTTTGTACACTGATCATCAGGGCACTGATGATCAGTTGTAACCCCCAGAAGTGCCACCTGTCAGTGTCCATTGTGTCAGTGCTCATCAGTGCCTCGTGCCAGTGCCACATCAATGCCAAATATCAGTGCCTACCAGTGCACATCAATGCCACATATCAGTGCTACCAGTGCACATCAATGCCACATATCAGTGCCCATCTGAGCTGCCTTTCAGTGTTACCCATCAGTGCCAGTTAGTGCCACCTATCAATGCCAATCAGTGCCACCTATCAGTGCCAGTCAGTGTCGCCTATCAGTGCCTGTTAGTGCCGCCTATCAGTGCCAGTCAGTGCCGCCTATCAGTGCCAGTCAGTGTCGCCTATCAGTCCCATATGTCAGTGCCATATATCAGTGCTGCCTTTCAGTGCCCATCAGTGATGCCTGTCAATGTCCATCAGTGCCACCTACCAGTGCCTCCTCATCAGTGCCACCTATCAGTGTCCATCAGTGCAGCCTATTTCATGCAGCCTCATTAGCAGATATCAGTGAAGGAGAGTAAAAATCACTTATTTACAAAATGTTATAACAAACAGTAAGAAAAAAACTTTTTTTTTCAAAATGTTTAGTGGTTTTTGGTTTGTTTAAGAAAAAATTAAAAAACCCAGAGGTGATTAAATACCACCAAAATAAAGCTTTATCATTCGGTCACAAAAAAAATGATAAAAATCTTTTCATATGGGTACAGTGTTGCATGACCGCGCGCAATTGTCATTCAAAGTGCGACATCTCTGAAAGCTGGAAATTGGCCTGGGAAGGAAGGGGGTATAAGTGCCCTGTAGGCTAGTGGTTAAACATTTGGGAAAGACTCTCTGAAAAATTATGCATACAGTGGGGGCAAAAAAGTATTAGTCAGCCACAAATTGTGCAAGTTCTCAGCCACTTAAAAAGACGAGAGAGGCCTGTAATTGGCATCATCAAGTAGACCTCAACTATGAGAAAAAAAAATCCAGTTACTCACATTGGCTGATTTGGGAAAGAATTTCTTTGCAAATTATGGTGGAAAATAAGTATTTGGTCACCTACAAACAAGCAAGATTTCTAGCTCTCACAGACCTGTACCTTCTTCTTTAACAGGCTCCTCTGTCCTGCACTCATTACCTGTATCAATGGCACCTGTTTTGAAAACTTGTTATCAGTATATAAAGACACCTGTCCACACAAGCTCAAACAGTCACACTCCAAACTCCACTATTTTTTTTTTTTTTTTTTAAGTCCGCAAACGTGCAAACTACAACGAAAAACCCGTAAGTGATCACAAAAAAGTGCAAGTGCGAACACCACACGAAAAAAGTGCACTTAGGGGTGTGTTTGTCCCTACCCACCGAAAGGGTTGGACCGTTCGCCTGATCCCCCGGGGCACGAAGCTCCTGACAGGGACAAGGTTCCCATTTGGTCCTCTCCTGGCCAAAAGGCCTGGTGGACCACCTTTCCTTTATGCCCAGCCAGAAGCCGGACATCCAGTACTAGGCGAGGGGGTTCTCCCGAAGAGAAAACCCCCTAGGGATCAGGGGAGGAAGGAACCGTATGGCCACACATCCTCCCCCTAGACTTCAGGTAAGGCCCAAGGACCCACACCCTCCATCCGTGAAAAACACACACATAAGAACAGAAAAAAGTGACAAAACGTGGGGGAGTGGTAAATAAATAAATAGAAAATAAAAAAGTGGTACCGTGCCTAATAGTGCACAGACCAGGCCCTGAGGCCTGTAGCAAAAAATTGCCCCGGACTTAGCCAAAAGACCTGGTCCTTAGGGCGCTGTGCAAAAAGAAGTGAAAAAAACAGTGGCCATGTGTCATCTTCACACCGTGGGGGTCCCACACCCAAGTGTTTACTAGTGACACCCCTGAGAGCGTCTTCCCCAGGGGGCACTGAGTTTGCGGACTTTTTGCGTCCCCAGCCCCAGGCCAGACCAAGGTAGATCCGTTCAAATCAGGAGGTACTGGGTCTTTCCAGTCTTCCCAGAGGAATTACTCCCAAGGCCCCAGAACGAATCATGGCGCTCCCTGGTTTCTGTCCCTCCGGTACTAGCCTTCCGGACCCCCATCATACCAGTGAGGGTTACTATACAACAACCATCCCCACAAAGCTAGAATGGTCGGGAGCACCCCCCACTGGACACTGATAAGAACAGATACTACACTTGATCTTAGCCAAAAGGCCGAGAAACTCCACTATGGTGAAGACCAAAGAGCTGTCGAAGGACACCAGAAACAAAATTGTAGACCTGCACCCAGGCTGGAAAGACTGAATCTGCAATAGGCAAGCAGCTTGGTGTGAACAAATCAACTGTGGGAGCAATAATTTAAGAAAATAGAAGACATACAAGACCACATTGATAATCTCCCTCGATCTGGGGCTCCCACGCAAGATCTCACCCGTGGGGTCAAAATGATCACATAGAAACGGTGAGCAAAAATCCCAGGACCACACGGGAGAGGACCTAGTGAATGACCTGCAGAGAGCTGGGACCAACGTAACAAAGGCTACCATCAGTAACACACTACGCCACCAGGGATTCAGATCCTGCAGTGCCAGACGTGTCCCCCCTGCTTAAGCCAGTACATGTCCGGGGCCATCTGAAGTTTGCTAGAGAGCATTTGGATGATCCAGAAGAGGATTGCGAGAATGTCATATGGTCAGATGAAACCAAAATAGAACTGTTTGGTAGAAACACAACTCGTCGTGTTTGGAAGAGAGAGAATGCTGAGTTGCATCCAAAGAACACCATACCTACTGTGAAGCATGGGGGTGGCAACATCATGCTTTGGGGCTGTTTCTCCGCAAAGGGACCAGGACGACTGATCCATATACAGGACAGAATGAATGGGGCCATGTATCGTGAGATTTTGAGTGCAAACCTCTTTCCATCAGCAAGGGCATTGAAGATGAAACGTGGCTGGGTCTTCCAACATGACAATGATCCCAAAAAATACCGCCCCGGGCAACGAAGGAGTGGCTTCATAAGAAGCATTTGAAGGTCCTGGAGTGGCCTAGCCAGTCTCCAGATCTCAACCCCATAGAAAACCTTTGGAGGGAGCTGAAAGTCCGTGTTGCCCAACGACAGCCCCAAAACATCACTGCTCTAGAGGAGATCTGCATGGAGGAATGGGCCAACATACCAGCAACAGTGTGTGCCAACCTTGTGAAGACTTACAGGAAACGTTTTGACCACTGTCATTGCCAACAAAGGATATATAACAAAGTATTGAGATGAACTTTTGATATTGACCAAATACTTATTTTCCACCATAATTTGCAAATAAATTCTATCCTAATCAGCCAATGTGATTGTCTGGATTTTTTTTCTCATTTTGTCTCTCATAGTTGAGGTCCACCTATGATGCCAATTACAGGCCTCTCTCATCTTTTTAAGTGGGAGAACTTGCACAATTGGTTTGGTTGGCAGACTAAATACTTTTTTGCCCCACTGTATGTGAAAGTTTAGCAGCTCAACATTAGCCAATTTGCTAGATGTAAATGGCCTTGTGTGTGCCCTCCGTGGCCACATACAGTATTTATAATAAAAAAGTATTATGTTGCAGCTAATCTTATTTCAGCATTCATGATATTTTAACAGACAATTCAGTGCTGAAGCTTGAATAATTTATATGGGGAATATGCACATTTTCTTTAATATTTTCATGTAGACCCTTTGTTCCCAGACTAAAAGTCAAAGTGCACAAGTATAACATGTCTTTTTTATTTTTAAATATGGGAGAAGAAAATGAGTTTTTAAGAGACTTTGTGATCTGTGTGCTTACCTTCTACATTTTCCTTTCCTATATGGAGAATTTTGAATTCATATAAAACATGTTATGTTGTGCATGTATGCAATGACACTACATAACACTTTATAAAAGGAATTCTTGTGGACATGTATAGATTGATTGTAGGACAAATTTGAATGAGAAGCTGAGAATGATGGAGGTAGAATCAGTTACAGAATGTTGAAATGGTCAATGAAATTGTGTCTGTTATCTTGACAGTTTTCTGCAATGAACCTTCAAATGGACAAGGACATTGTAGAAAACACAGCAGAGTAAATATCTTTAGAGAACAGGGAATTGTGTTTTGTCTTTGTTGCTTCACGCATCCTTAATCTCTCCCCCAGAGAGCTAAAGATTTACCAAACATCTGAGGCTCATGATAGTCCCAGTGCCTGTTTAAACATGTAATCTGACAATGCCAGAAACACGTATCTTTCTTTATATGGGGCCAAGCTTTAAAAGAGTGGCCTTCTGGGACGGTACAGATCCATGCTGCATTAGAGCTTCTAGGTCTATAAACTCTTGACTTGTGCTAATGTGTCTGTAAGAAACCACATTAGTTTTCAATAAACTCAAAAGTGGTTGGGAAGTTTGGTGTTTAAATTAGATTCTGCTGATTCTACACTTTGTTATACTGTCTATCAGATTGTGCACTATTAAAAACAATCCCAGAAAAAATATAAAATGTATACAAAAATTGTTTTATAAAGAAGCTATGAGCAGTCTTGAAGGGATGAAGGGATAAAACAAAATATTACTTTGACTAAGAACAGATTATCCATTAATCCACAATATGGCTATCCATGGGGAGGCATCCATGTAATCATACCAAGAAGACAATACTCTTAGGTTTGAGACACCAGTCTTTGTTAGTCGTATATATTTTATTATTTGATACAATCGTGCAGAATATAGAGTATATTATGATAAGCACTGCCTCTTTTGGGCCACAACTCTGCAACTCTTTTGGGTCCCCAGTCCCATACCAGGTATGAATGCCCATGCCAGTGGGCTTTGAATGAAAACCCTAAAAAGGAACCATTAAAATGAGTGTGAAAATAAATCTACATATATATAGCTAATTCTATAGATACGCTGGGATATACCCAATAATACATGTATTTCTACAAAGATCAAGGGATCGTATGTGCACCGTAGGATGTCAACCAGCTGTCCATACACTGTGCTGATGACAGTGTAAATGTATTTTTCCTCCATATAATAAAAGGTTCAATTTGCCTGCCAGCCAGTGTCTTCAGGATAGGTCCTCATTCTAGCTGCCTTTGCATATCCTGTGCATCTGCGTAGCTGAATTACTGCTCACAGTTTGTCCACTCTGGATTAGGACATGTAGAACTGAACTGCTAGTAGTTTGCCCTACAATCTAGCAGGTGATTCTAGGTGTATGGATGCTTGTATTTAGGCTGTCTATTTCAGGTCCCTCGTCCTACGTTTTGGCATGCTATGAGCATTTATGATATTTAAACAGATCTTGTCTGATCTTGGATGGTCAGTTGACTAGATTGATGCAAGAATGTCAGCCTAGAGGGGGCAGGAA